CATCAAGAAGGGATGCCATCTCCCGAAGGCTCCCAAAGGGAAAAATCTACACTTAGAAAACTTTCTAAGTCCTACATATTTTTTCCCTCGGTCAACTGCTCATCTCAACTTGTGAAGGGAGGTGGCATCCCTTCTTGAAAATTTTCTAAGTCCTAAAGAATTTTCTTAGAAAATTTTCTAAGTCCTAAAGAATTGGCCCCCCGGCCTAATCAACATTTCAGTCGGGGCTCCACAGTAGCCGAGGGCTACATGACACACTACATTTGCAAAAATTTTCTAAGTCCCAATAACATGGCCTTCGACCATCACTAAACAACCATACATTCATACGTGAGGAAAGCATAAAGGAGAAGGCATACATTCAAACATAGGGCGCATTCAAATGTGAAAAGCCCGGAGGCAGCATGCATTCATCAAGATCAGAAGTAAGTGTAAAATTACAAACAGGCCGAAGCCGAAGGATCAATGGTGTTCATTACAAAAATTTGTTCTGAAATTTCTAAGTACAGAATCACTCAACAACCTCGACAGCATCATTCCCCGGGGCGTCCTCTACAGCCGGCCTCGACGATACCTCCGCTCTGGCCTCAACAACGTCGTCCTCGGCCTCCTTCTTCAGCTCTGTGTCCTCAAGATCGGGCCGTTGTACACCTTCGGGAAGGGATTCACGGACATCAGGCTGCAGGGGAGGAAGGCCATATGCCGAGGGGGCGAAGTCCTTTGGCTCAATGTTCAGGTGCCGGGCCATCCTCCGATAGATGAGGGCCTGGGTGAAGAATTCGCCGGCCTCATAATATTCCCTGCCCTTCCGGGCCATCCATTCCCACCCAGGGCCCTCGGCCCACTCATCAATGCATGCTTCCACGACCGAGGACACCCACACCTTACGTCCCTCGGCTCTCCAACCCTCGGCGACGAAGGCGTCAACGGCCTCCTCCTGAGCCTTGGCGACGGCTAGCGCCTTGGAATCCTCGGCCTCTTTGGCAGCTCTCCTGGCCTCCTCAGCAGCGGCCTCGGCATCAACCTTGCTCTTTTCTGCGGCCTCCAATTTTAGCTTCATTTGCCGAAGCTCCTCTTCTAGCCTGGCCCCCAGCTTCACGGCCTCCTTGTTTTTGAGGATACACTCCCTCATTTTGGCGTCCTGCTCCGCTTTATGGAGGCGCCATTCTTGAAGCCTCCGGGCCTGTTCGCCGAGGGCTAGACAAGCCTGCAAATCAACAACAAAAATGGTTAAAGGCAGTCACGCAAAAGGAACAAAGGAAAAGAGGAAGAAAGCCGAGTGAACACTTACAGAGAGGGGGGAGCGGAGAATGTGGTCCTCGAGGGCCGCATCATTATAAGCCCCGATGGAAGCCCTATCCGTCTCAGGGGTTATGCCCCTCAAGATGGCCCCCGGGTCAACAGCGCCGCTGGCCAGAGATGTCCCCCTCGGAAGAGTAACATGGAGGACCTCAGGCAGCAACTCCTCTGCCCCCGCCGGCGTTCCACCCGACGGCTTCTCCACATGCACCCCAGAGGCGGGGTGCTCATCAACAATCACGACCGGGGGCTCCTTATCGGTGATATCCCCCTTCTTCTGTTTTTTGGTAGCCGGGGGGGACCCCTTGGTCGCCGCCTTCCTCCTGCTGGCAGCGGCATCACCCTCGGATTTCTTGAAGAGGGCAGTGGCGGGCTTCTGGTTGCCCTGTCCTGACCCCTTCAGGTCCTGTTTCTTCAGACGCGCAAGACCCTTCACGTTCACCATGGACACGGGGATACCTGCAAAAATACGACAAAGGATTAGGCCGACGGGTCTACAGCGAAGGGACAATGACATCCAAGCAAAACAAAAAAAACAAAAAAAAACTAAGTACAAAGATCTAAAGCCCTCAGCTCCTACCTCCGGCTCCTCCGAAGGCCTTGTTGAAGGGAGGATACTTCTCGTCGGTCTCCCCTATGAAGCGGTACCTTCGGAACCCGAGGGTGTATAAATCCTCCTCAAGGGTGCAATCTTTGATCGCCACATTCTTATTCTTCCCTTCCGGGAACTTAGCTAGCTTTAGGCCGTCTTTCTCGAGGGCAGCACTCCTGATCTTTTCGTGCCTTCGGAATCGATCGCGCAGTTCCCTCGGGAATGGGTTCTCGCCCAACTTCACATAGCACCAACGTTCCCTCCATCCTTTGTTTGAAGAAGGGGCATCGGAGAATAGTTTGAAACGGGCAATCTGCTGCAGATTCGCGTATCCCTCGCCATTTTCGTGCCCCCCTCGGCACAATTTAAAGCTCTGGAAGAATAGATCCAGGCTGGGCTTCACCCCTTAGGACTTGCAGAGCTGGAGGAACCCCGCAATGTAGGAGTAGCTGTTGGGCGTAAGCTGACAGGGGACCAAACCAACGAACCTCAGGTACTCCCGAAGGAACGGGTGCAGAGGGAACCTAAGCCCCATAGAAACCGAAAGGACGTGAATGGCGATACACCCCTCGGGCGCCCTGGACAACACGTCGTCAGGACCCGGCTCCACCACTTCGGCCGAGGGCCCCACGTGCAGCTGAGTAACGTACAGATCTGCCCTATCGGCTTTCGACTTAATCTCGAGGGCCTCAGTGTTCAACCAACTGTACCCCTCGGGCATGTCCACTGGCTTTCCTTGATCGACAGCCCTCTCCTTCTTTTTGGTAGCGGCCTTAGCCTTCTTCTTCTTCAACCCGGAGACCGCCCTCAGGGGTGTCGGATCTAGCGGCCTCAAACTACTTGCTTCCCCAGAACCCCCCCGGGGGGGGGGGGGGGGGAGAGAGAACAGCAACTGTAACCTTCATGCTCTCATTTTGCGCCTCATCCTCCGCCACCTGGTACGCGAAGGCTAATTCTTCATCTTCGCACTCCTGTTCGAAGCCCTCGGCTTCCACTTCAGCAGCAAGGGCCTTCTGCAACTCCAAGGCTACAGCTTCGTCATCGGCAACCGAGGGCGCACTGCTAGTTGACTCAACATCGGAAGCAACCTCGTCCTCAACCGAGGGCTCCCTCGAGGTATTCTGCGAGTCGCTTTGGGACGACATCCTTGGTGTACTTAAGCTAAGACTCCTAAATCGAGGGTTCTCTACAAAGCTCTAACACCTAATCTAAGGCCAGAGGGCGGAACTTACTAAAAAGTTTTGAGAGGAAAGCAGGACACTGACCTTGAAAGTTGAGTTTTGATCGAGGGTGATTTTCTCTCTCTAGAAAATTTGGCAGAGCTTCGCTAACGATATCGGACGCACAAGGAGAATGGTCTGGCCATGGGGTATTTATAGGCTCCCAGATCCGGGCTTGGGCCGAGATCCGGGCTCCCAGCGGCCAAAGCCATCATTACGCACCGTCATTTCACCCAACCGGTGACGCCCGCCCACGAGCGGCCAACGGCTACACTCCACGTGTACCCCCCCCCCAACGGCTATATCCTGACGGTACGTATTCCAACGGCTATATTTCCAACGGCTATATTCTGGGAGCCCCCAGACTTTTTTTACTTCACTCCACTTCACCAAGGAGAGCCTCCGGGTACACTTACCCAGAGACGCCCCCGGTTTATGCCCCACACGGTACATAACAGTCGCCCTCGGGATCACTCCTTTAGAAGCCCAAGGCTTCACATCAGGCCACCCCTCGGGGATTCCCCCTCAGCACTGTAAGGGCCGGTTAGCCCCCGGGGAGTACGCCTCCTTGACGGATACCCTACAACACACAAATAATGGGAGCCCTCGGGTATCCTCGTCACCAACTAACCAGCAAGCAGGGGACCCCCGGCGACAATTCAATCACTGCCCTCATCCATCATGCCCTCGATCCCCAGATTGAGGGGCTCCCCTTCGGCACCCCCCAGGACATCAACACATGAGCCCTCAGAAAAAGGAGAGCCTTCGGCATTACCGATTATTCTCCATTTTTGACCAAGGTTTCACATTTTCGATTCATCGTTGGGGGAATTCGGTGCACTCTTTTTCCCTCATTAGGATTTTTTCCCTCAAGGTTTTTCCTAATGAGGTTTTTAACGAGGCATCCCCCCAAAATGAAACGAAAAGCGTCAACCTTCGGCCCACAACAGCAACACAACTACTCTACTCCTTTTCACCACTTTACAAATGCCTCAAGGAGTGGGGGACTGGAGGACCCCCTCGGGAAAATCATTAAATTACAAAATTAGTGAAATTCCAAAAAACGACAAAGCAAGCCCTCAAGTCCCGACATGTGGGTAACTGAGGGGCTGCCTTCGGCAGCGACATAAAAGCAACAACTCCTCACCAACTTCAGAGATTACGACAGGACAACATCGAAGGGCAAGCACAAATTACTCCTTTTCCCTCAAATACCTTTCGGCAAAAGGAGTGAGGGACTCCTGATGAAGTATATGGCCCGGGAACCCCCGACCCACATACTCCTACTACTCCAGTAAAGGCCCAACAGGCCCAGAAAGCTCAAGCAGGCCCAAATCACAGCGCCCAGAGTACCAAGCAGCACGCAATACGCATCAGGGGTGCCTTTAGCCCCCTGGCCGAAGGCTCCAAACTATCACAGCGTGGATATTTCGAACAAACAGAGGAACTGGGAGAAAACGGCGAAAACAGTAGCCCTCGGCACCTGGAGCCCTCGGCGCTCAGGGGTCCTCGGCACTAAGAGCCCTCGGCTAGTCCTCTGTGACCGGGGGCACCTCTCCCGACATGATCTCCGCATCACATGCGTACAGATCACCGTACCCTGTACAGACATCCCATCCAACAGCCGCATTAAATGCGGCCACATGCGGCTGCCAGCGCCAACCAGTTGAAGTGACCTCTCGGCCAATGGGTGCTTGACACGTGTCCCTGTCCGGCATTTATTGCTACTATAAATAGCACCCCATTTCCCCATTTGTAACGACGACATTCATACTGAATACACTCTCTCTCTTACTTACTTGTGCTCTGACTTCTCTCTAAGTTATTCTCAGCAATAACCCCTCGGATAAGTTACCCCCCGGGTACACTATCCATCAGGTGCAAATGCTACATTTTTTTTTTGGAAATACGAAGGCAGCAGGCCAGCAGATAAGTATTTAAAAGCAGAAATTGTTGTTTATCCCACAAATCTCAGTAATAATTATGTCAATGATTTTCCAACTTAACAAAAATACTCAAGCTCAAAGCAAAATGAAGCAACTTTAAATCAGAATGGATAAAAATAAAATCTCCCGATGCCATCCGCTTCTATGTACGGGCAGCAGTTGGAGCAGCCCCGGGTGGGCGTGGAGGCTGACCAGGCTTGGGAGCATTGTCCATTGGGCGTCTGAAGTGACGCTGTGGAGGTTCTCGATTTCTTCGGTCAGTACGGGAGCGAACTCTGACAACCTTGGAGTGAATTGCACATGAAACACAGTATTGCACCTTCAAATAGAGCTTTGGAAGAGTGTATGATTCAAAGGCACAAGCCTCTTGGACATCCCTAACAGCCGCTTGCTCAACAATGTTTCTTACAAGAAACCTCTTGATGGCTTTGTCCTTAGGGCAGCACTTTCCGCAGTTGGAGCAACGGACGAACTTGACGTGGCCACGGCCATGCTTATTGCGACCTCCATTCCTCCGCTTGAAAGTCATTATCACTAGGTTTGAGCTACAGATTGGTATGGAGGAACGGCGAGATGCGGAAGAAATATCAAATGCTACATTATTAACAATGGAAAGGAACATCTGAAAGTCTTTCAAGAGAAAGCTGATGAAGGTGTATTCATAGGCTATTCAAACACCAGTAAAGCCTATAGAGTACTCAACAGAAGGACTCTACATGTTGAAGAGTATATACATGTGAAGTTTGATGATAACATCTCTATTAAAGAAGTAACAGAGACCCTCAAAGAAGTCAACATAGAAGATAGAACACCTGAATCAACAGAAGAGGTAGCAGATAACCCTGCATTTCCAACACCTGCACCAAACCCCCTTCTGTTGAATGAAGATGAAGATTCAGAAGATGAAGAACCAGAGAGACCCAGACAGCAACTGACAGAACCTAATCTGACATGGTTAAGAGACCATCCCCCTAACCAAGTAATTGGACATATCAGAAGTGGTGTGCAGACCAGATCAGCATCAACAAGGAGAGAAGCAATGCTTGCCTGTTATATATCTCAGATGGAACCCATGACTGTAGAGGAAGCTCTTGCAGATTCAGATTGGATCAATGCAATGCAAGAAGAGCTGACTCAATTTGAAAGGAACAAAGTATGGGAACTTGTTCCTAGGCCAAAGCACCAGAATGTCATTGGAACAAAATGGGTATTCAAGAACAAAGCTGTTGAAGATGGCAACATTGTAAGGAATAAAGCAAGGCTGGTAGCTAAGGGTCACTGCCAAGAAGAAGGAATAGATTTTGATGAGACTTTTGCACCAGTTGCCAGACTGGAAGCCATCAGAATATTTCTAGCCTATGCTGCCTACAACAACATCAAGGTCTACCAGATGGATGTCAAGAGTGTATTTCTGAATGGAGATCTTGAAGAAGAGGTTTATGTGGAACAACCACCAGGTTTTGTCATTCCTACTCACTCCTCCTGTGTCTACAAGCTTAAAAAGGCCCTTTATGGTCTTAAGCAAGCTTCCAGAGCATGGTATGACACACTGTCCCTATTCCTAGTGAACCATGGGTTTACTAAGGGAAAGGTTGACAAAACTCTATTTCAAATCTCTGTTGCTAATTATATTCTGTTAGTACAAATATACGTTGATGATATTATATTTGGTAGTACTAATTCAGAACTATGCAAGAAATTTTCTCAAGTGATGCAGAGTCAATTTGAAATGAGTATGATGGGAGAACTCAGCTACTTCCTAGGACTACAAGTCAAACAGGTTCCAGAAGGAATCTTTATCAATCAAGGAAAGTACACCAGAGACCTGATCAAGAAATTTGGAGTGGAAGGCAAATCCTCAGTGAAGATCCCCATGAACACCTCACAAGGAATTGGTCCGGATGATGAAGGCAAAGATGTTGATGCAACTACCTACAGAGGAATCATAGGATCTCTGTTGTATCTGACTGCAAGCAGACCAGATATCTCATCCTCTGTTGGGATCTGTGCCAGATACCAATCAAAGCCCAAGGAGAGCCATCTTAGTGCTGCAAAAAGAATCATCAGATATATCAAAGGAAATCCAAATGCAGGCCTATGGTATCCAAAGGGAGGTAACTTTGAACTAATTGGTTACTCTGACTCAGATTTTGCAGGTTGCAAATTAGACAGGAAGAGCGCCTCTGGTCACTGCCAGATGCTAGGAGGAAGGCTTGTTTCCTGGTTTAGCAAGAAGCAGAATTCAATCTCAACAAGTACAGCAGAAGCTGAGTACATTGCAGCTGAGAGTTGCTATGCTCAGTTACTCTGGATGAAGCAACAACTGAAGGATTATGGCATTCAAGCAAAGGAGATCAAACTGCTATGTGACAACACCAGTGCCATTGCCATCACTCAGAATCCTGTTCTTCACTCAAGGACAAAGCACATTGAGATCAGACATCACTTCATCAGAGATCATGTTGAAAAGAAGCACATATGCATGGAGCATGTGTCAACAGAAGACCAGCTTGCAGACATTCTGACAAAGCCTCTGCCTGAGGCTAGATTCAACAAACTGAGAGAGGAATTGGGAACGATGGATGAAATTCCAAGAGAAAGTTGAAAAGGAAGGCCTTCTGTTGCATACTTTATGCTAACAGAATACCTGTTGCAGAACCCCTTCTGTTCTCTACACTGAGCATAACACCTGTTGTTGACCCCTTCTGTTCTCTATCCTGAACAGAGGACCTCTGTTCCTGACAGAACACCTCAGCATCAGAAATCCTCCTCTTACCTTTAACAGAAGGTTGTGGACTTTGAAATATTTTGAGAAAAACCGGGTGACCTAGTAAATTAATGAAGGTCTTTTACCCTTTTACCCTTAAACGGTATTACAGCCGCAAAATATTTACTGCGCCCCCATTTTCATTTATTGGTACCTTGGAACCGCCAATAATCTCAAACGTCCACTAACCCGTACCCATATATTCTCTTCGTTTCAACCTAAACCGCTACTGCTTTCATTACTCTCAAGCATTCGAATCTTTACCTCTCTAAAAACTCTCCAACCTCTCAATCCGGCTATGGCTTTCTTGAACTTCACCGACCTCTCTAAGGAGCAAAAAGCTACCCTGCTCAAGAATGTGTTGACAGGGATGAAGTGTGAACTGGAAATACTACCCAGATTTGCAGAAAAAGAAGAAAGGATGGCAAACATGATTGAAGGACTGACAGAATGTCAACTGAGCAAGGTCATCTCCTTCACATATGAAGTCTACAGCAATATAGATACCGTTGAATTCTACCTCAACGCCTCCTACAAAGATGAATCCATCACTTCTAAAGTCCAAGGAGAGGACATACTGGTTGATGCTGACGTCATCAACAAAATTTTTGACATTCAACTAGAAGAAGGCAAGGCTTCTCTATTTGATTTAGAAGAAGTTGACGTCACTGTTCCTGAATTCAAAAGGAACTACTGCGGAAAAGGAGAAGAAGTGGAAAAAGTGAACATCAAGAAACACCTGCTCAAGAAGGATTTTGAGCTCCTCATTAACATTTTTCACAAATGTTTATGCTGCAAGTATACCTCCACTGATGATGTCACTACTGCAAATGCAAAGGACCTCTATGCAGTACATCATGGAGTAAATGTCAACTGGGGAAAAGTTATGGTGTGGTCCCTCATTGAATTCATCAAAAAGAAGAACCCCAAGACAGGCCTATATTCTGGGAAGTTAGGCCATGGATTGCTCATCTCTGAATTGCTACTCACTCAAGGTGTCACCTTGAGGAAGACAACACCTCTGGACCACACTAAGGTAATCTTTCTGTCTGCATCTCCGAATAGAGAAATTGCTATCAAGGCAGAACTAAAGCGACAGCTTCAGCTTGATAACAAGAGACAACAAGGAGACAAGGTTCAAAAACCCCTCTCTGATGCACCCACTGAGGAGAAGAAAAAGAAAAGGGAGAAGAAAACCAAACAAGTTGCACCTCCTACACCCAAGAAGGTTGCACTTAAGAGGAAGAGAACCACCAGAACTAAGAAGAAGATCATCAAACCTGTAATCTCAGTGTTTGAGAAGGTAGCAGACACTCAGGGGGAACCAGAGAACCCCACTTCTGTTGCCACCCCAGAACAGATCCGGGTGCCAACATCACCAGAACATCCCAATACAGACAAAGAAGGGTATCTATCTTTACTGGATAGACAGTTTGATCGAGTGCTGGAATGGAGAAGATGGAGGATGGGACCCCTCCAAAAGATCATCCAATACTTTGACCACTATGAGTCTGAAGAAGAGGCCATACTGAAGTGGGTGGGCACTGATGATGTCTCAAAGTGCTTTGCCCTCAACTTCCTACACTTTGCCCTCGAGAAGAAGAAGGCAAATTACAAGGGAAAGGCTATTCTCATATCCACCTCTTCAGAGGAGATAGTCAAGCCCCTTGAAGATGAAGAAATAGAAGTCTTTGAAGAATGGCTATTTGCCAAGAAGGCAAAAGAATCTGTGCAACCTCACTCTACACCAGGAGAACCTTCTGTACCCAAGACAGAAGGGCATGCTATGATGGAGTTTATCAGAGAATGGAGGGCATCCCTGATCAAAGAAACTGTACTTGAGGTAATTTCTCCATCCCACTCTGCTCATATCTCAACAGAACCCCAAATCCTCTCTCTTCTCATTCCAACAGAAACCATCCCAACAGAAACCCTTCCTACAGAGAACCTTCATCCGAAAACCTCAGAACAGAAAACCTCAACCTCTCCTCACTCTTCAACTAAGAAAACCAAATCACCATCAACCTGCAAAGAGCTCACCCCTATCAGAAACCGCTCCCCTTCTCCTCCACCCCCTCCTCCTCATCAGATCACACCTTTACAAAAGGATGCCTCTCCTCACCAGAAAACCTCCTTCCAATAGAAATCCAAATCACCCTCTCCCCAGCAGAACCCAAGTCATATACAGACTGCCACTCTTCAGTATCAAGATCCACCTAGTGTGTCTCCTGTTCCAGCACCTCAAGGCTACTCCAGAAATTCCACAGCCTCCAATCCTTCCTTCAACAGAAAGACACGTGTTGTTAGAAACACAATACCCATCTACTCATCCTATGAGGACTCCTCAATCATGGGTGGATTCATTGTCAGCAAACCTCTTGAAGCCTCATCCAAGAGACAGAAGACCCCTCCTTTGACACAGCTTGAGTATGAAACTCAGCAACAACAAGCCTCATCTGCTGAAGACAACATTTCTAGAAGGGCTCCCATGCCCAAGTCAAGAGGACTGGGGATGCCTGGTTTTGAAGAATCAGAGCCACAAATTCCTTTCAATAGGTTTGTTCAGACTGCAGAAGAGTTTGGTGGTCAAGTCCTGGAAGGAATGGACAAGCTTATCAGAATCAATGACAAGCACTTCGAGCACCTCTCACATGTGAATGATAACCTCAATTCTGGAATGCAGTTCATTTCAGATCGCTTTGCCAATCTCACATAATCCCTTAATAATTTCATGGCTTCATCCACTGCCAGAACAGATGCACTCTCAACAGAAGTGGACAGTATTCACAAGACTCTCTTCACATTTCACCAGACTTTGTTG